ATAATATAATATAATATAATATAATATAATATAATATAATATAATATAATATAATATAATATAATATAATATAATATATTTTTCAATTGCTAGAAATTCAACAAAAAAAAGTCAAAAAATAAAATAAATAAATAAACTCATATAACTGAGATTTTAAAAGGGAAGGTTTGCAAAAACCAGGGGTGTCATATAATATAATATAATATAATATAATATAATATAATACAGATTCCACAAAAATGTAAATAAATAAATAAATAAATAAATAAGAAGCACTGTTTTCAACATTGATTGTAATAAGACATGTTTCTTGATCACCAAATCAGCATATACATTTTTTTTTATGAAGGATCCTGCAACACTGAAGTAATCTGAAAGTTCAGATTTGCAATCAATTACATTCTAAAATAGATTAAAATAGAAAACAGTTCTTTTAAATTGTGATAGTATTTCACAATATTACAGTTCTTACTGAATTTTTGATCAAACAAATGCAGCCTTGGTGAGCATAAAAAACTTCCAAAAAAATCTTACCAACCCCAAACTTTTGAATGGTAGCGTATTCTAAATATAATTTATAAGTTGTATTTGCACATGTCAACAGGCACATAAATGTCTAGTGAATTTGTCAACTGTCAAATGCAACTGGACTTTATATTAGATTAGGAAGGCCACTCAATCTGAGCTGCTTCAACAGAGTTCGAGCTCATTTTCACAGCCAAGGCTTCTTTGGTCATTTCATTTATAACCTTTTTCCCTGCACATGGATTGTTTAGGTTCTCAAGGCTGTTTGACTCTCACAGTGTGCCGGCAGCTCAAAGCCCAACACAAACTACCAAACCAATAACCCTGGCCTAACTGGGGCACGGGCCCGATGTAATCGAACCAGTGACTCACAAAAGCACCTCGCCAGACGGTTTTCACATGTCGCTCAGGAGGTTAATGGAAAAGAACTCGACTGAAAGGAGAACAAGAGAACAAGCTTACAGCCGTCCGCACATTCATAAGAGGTTTGTTGAGTAAAACCACTCAATATCTTGCAAGTCGAAGACATTATCTATCCGTCCTTCACTTGGAGGAGTCCGTGGATGGTATGTTTGGTTTATGGAGACAATATAATGAACCAAACTCTTCACATCTGGAAAAGATGAGCAGCGTAAGCAGCATCTGATATCTCACTTTAGGTAAAGAAGCTCAGGGTGGTCTTCAAGCAGTGCGTTCATCATCTAACATGTAAATAACTGTATTATGCAAGTGAATAGCCTCATTTTAGACCAAAGTGCAGCTTTCGTAGCGTTTTGTGCGAGGTAACAGTAGAGTTCAGCTCATCATTAAAACATACATCAATGTAATTCCAGGCCTATTCATGCGCAACAACGGCAGGCAACCTTTTCAAAGAGCCAGACCATGAGAGCTAATGAAGTGCTAAATGTGGAGAGCAAACTTCATTTTCATATGTAAATATTCAAAGGTTGCGGGGCGAGGGCAGACATATTTTCTCTGGAACAACGTTGAGGAGAGGAAGAGAAAGAGAAAAGCATTCTGGGAGGCACTCGATTGTGTGCGGGGCTTTTTTCTTCGTTGTGTCGCTGTGTGATGGTGAAGCTTCAAACAATTAGAGCCAATTAAAAGGTATCGAGTCGAAACAAACCCAGTGGGGAGGGCTTCAGTGTAAATACCACAGATCCTTCTCATGCACGTTCCTCTGTGAAAAGCCAAGTGGTTCCTCTCATTTGTATTCCGAGTGAGAAATGCGAGGAAGGGTTTCTACAGAGCCAAGTGGCATTGTATTACCGGCCGCATTTGCCTAAAGTTACAAGATGTGCTTTGACGAGCTGCCATTGTACGAGGAAGAGGTTCTCTCTAGGTCTGAAAGGCTTCTAGTTCTCTCTGGGCCAAGAAGGCCATGCTTGGAAAAACAAAACAAACAAAAAAACCTTTAAAAAGATGTGAAAAGAGAACATGGGGTCGCTTGGTTTAAGGGTCACATTGAAAGCGCTGTGGAGAATTGAGCAGGGAGGTTTGTGGCAGATCAGTAAAGCAAATTAGCAGCGAAGGGAGGGGAACAGTAGCCTTTTTTAATTCTGTACTTGTCAATGTAGAATTAATATGGTTGACTCATCATGTAACACGAGTCAAAAGTGCATTTTCACAGCTTAACAGCAATGGTTCACTCAAAAATAAACATTTTGTCAAATGGAAATTTTATATAATGCACTGCTTGCTATTTTCCACACAAATAAATAAAGCTTTCAAGCTTTAAAAAGTTTGTGAAAGCACCATTAGGTTACATAAAACTTGTTCATACAACTTGTGTGCTGCATTTTAAGTCTTCTGAAGCTACATAATATTTTTGTTGGACCATACCAACATTTAATTTGTTATTTACATATAAACAAACTATATAAGTCAGTGAGTTGAAGACCGAATTAGTCTGATTCATAAATGAATCATTCAGACTTGTTTTGTGAACAGAAACATCCGAATCATTGAAGTGACTCAAAAGAATGCTTTGCTCACATATTTAACATCTGTATTCTGGTGGACTATCATTTTAAATAAAGTGTGTAAGAAGTCAGAGTGCAGGTATAACTTTCTCTTCTCTGCTTCAAATTACAACTCCAAAAACAATTCAAAAGCACAAAACGCTTGAAACAAAAAAGGGGAAATTGAATTTCAATAAATATGAAGGAAGTAAGAAAAGAGGGCGCCCCCTTTGCCATGACCTCAAGAGCCGCTAAACGCAGCTGTCAAAGGTAGCAGGGCCTGCTGCGAAAAACTTAACGAGTGACTTAGCATAATGTGGGGTCTGCTTTTGAACCTGACCCACCACGAGTGCTTTGGCATGAGATTATATTCACCAAGTTACAGCAGCAGAGAATAGGATGCAAAACCTTGTTGTTCATGTGCACCTTTAGACCTTGCTGGAAAGAGATGTGAGAATATACTCAGCAAAGTATATTCACATTCAAACACATTCAAATCTCTCAAAAGAAACATGCTTTCATACAGTGCCTTGTGGTCACAAACACCAATGCAATCCATATTTCCCCATACACTACCATTCAAAAGTATCTCATACTCACCAAGGCTGCATTTGTTGGATCCAAAATACAGTTCAAAACAGTAATTTTTGTGAATTATTTTTACGATTGAAAATAACTGTTTTCTAACATATTTTAAAAGGTAATTTAATTTGTGATGACAACGCTGAATTTCAGCAGCCATTACTCCAGTCCTTCAGAAATCATTCTAATAGTGCGTAAGAAACATATTTTACTGTTATCAATGTTGAAAACAGCTGCTTAATATTTTTGTGGAATCTCTTATACATTTTTTTCAGGGATCTTTAATGAATTGAAAGTTCAAAAGACCAGAATTTAAAAAAATAATAATTTAGTGATAAATAACTATACTAAAATGTATTTGAAATACTTTTATTTCATGCTAAGTATACTACAAATACATTTACAAATTTATGTACTTAAAATACCCTGCAATTGCACTTAAAGTTTACTAAACTGGTATTCTTAAAGTCTGCTAAATTTTAACAAATAATTTTGTACTTAATGCACTTTAAGTGTGTGTAAGTAGTGCTGAAGTCCAACTAAAGATGAACTGAAGTATATTTGATTGTGCTAAAGTGGAACTATTGCAAGTATACATCAGGTACACTTTAAGTATCTTGCATTTAAAGACTGATATTATACAAAGATCATACAATCCCCATCAATACTGACATTAAAACACATTTTTAGGCTTAATATTAAGAAACGTATGGAAGCCCGTTTCCGCCACTGAATAATAATAAAAAAAAAAGGTAATTGCGACTTTTTATCTCACAATTCTGACTTTTTTTTCCACAGAATTTTGAGATATAAACTCGCAATTGTGAGTTATAAAGTTAGAATTGCATGATATAAACTCGCAATTGCGAGTTAAAGTCCAATTTTGAGGGGGGAAAAAGACTGATATGTTCTCAGAATTGCGAGTTTATCTCTCACAATTCTGAGAAAAAAAGTCAGAATTGTGAGATATAAACTCGCAATTGCGAGTTATAAAGTCAGAATTGCATGATATAAACTCGCAATTGCGAGTTATAAAGTCAGAATTGCATGATATAAACTCGCAATTGCGAGTTAAAGTCCAATTTTGAGGGGGGAAAAAGACTGATATGTTCTCAGAATTGCGAGTTTATCTCTCACAATTCTGAGAAAAAAAGTCAGAATTTTGAGTTTATATCTCGCAGTTCCGAGAAAAAAAGTCAGAATTGCGAGTTTGTATCACGCAGTTCTGAGAAAAAAAGTCAGAATTGCGAGTTTGTATCACGCAATTCTGAGAAAAAAAGTCAGAATTGTGAGATAAAAAGTCGCAATTAACTCTTTTATTTTTTATTCAGTGGCGGAAACGGGCTTCCATAGAAATGTGCATTGTGCACAAGTAGTACTCCAAATGATGTTGAATTATAATTTTTATATCCGTAAGTCTTGAGCGATATGTCAGAAAAACAAGTTAATAGATTTGAACAATACTTAGTATGACATAAATGTATTTTTAAATATATTACTTTTTACTAGGGAATGTGTCTTTAGTGTCACTTTTGATCACTTTAATTAACACATTCTTGCTGAATAACAGTATTTATTTCTTAAAAAAAAAAAAAAAACCAACTTACTAATCTCAAACTTTTAAAAGGCAGTGTACATTACATACTTAATCTTACATAAAATATGTTTTTGTTGCTAGCATGCACCACATTAGTGCACTGTTCTTCTCATTATTGTAAAAATGATGTGTTGAGCCTTAATGATGTGACCTTGAGGTATATTACACACAAAAAAAAAAATATTTGAAAAAACTGATTTAGCACATACCCAGAACCTCCATGGGAACCTCAGGCCCCTGACTGGTGTCCGCCCCGGTGTCTGCACTCTTTGTTGACTCTATTAACACAGAGAGAGGAGAAACCGAGAGAATATTCTGAACATGATGGCCATTAAAACAGAAACGAGGTTAAAAGAGCTTCCAAAGAAGCAACACTATACACAGCTCTAGTTTTAAAGTGAGTATGTCACATAGTTTGCTGTTCCTTCCAAACTGTCCATGGTTTTTCTTCTCTCTCTTTTTTCTTTTGTTTAATATGCATTAAAGCACCTAAATTCTATGTGCCTTTTTAATGGATTTTGTGCACCTTTGCAAGGAGAGAGATGTGTGCGAGAGACAAAATGAATAGGCATGAGCAAAACAAAACTGCCATTATCAAATATAAGCTCTGCATCCTGTGCCTCAGCACTCTTCACATTCGTTGTGATTTATCCTGCCTCCATATTCCTCACACACTCCCCTGACCCCCCCGTCTGGAGGGCCGTGGGAGGGACGAGCTGGCTGATCAAAAGAAGATCTTCAAAGCCACAGTGTGAGAGCCGTGCTCCTTCCGGCTTATTTGAGCAGGACTCCTCTTCTCCTGCATTCTCCCTGCTTTGATGCTAACAGGGTTGTGGGCCATAGGTGACTACATAATGGAGAGCACACACAATGCATTCTGGGTGCTCTGCCGGGGTACAAATGACAGCCGTATCAGGTGTGTTTGAAGTCCAGGGTCCATCAGCAGATGGTTGTGGTGGCTGAAGAGGGTTTGTGAGAGTCATATTTATGTGTGAATTCATACAATGGTGGCGCCTCTGCCTGAAAGCGGTTATATGGCTTGGTTTCCATCAAGCCTGTCCTCTAACAAAAGTTTAACATGGACAACAAATTACTTTAGCATTAACAATTGTGTGTTCCATTTACCAGAAGATTTTTTCGTTAAATGTTGATACTTATTTCTATATATATATATGGACTGAGTGGTATAAAGCATACCACCACTGGACTCTGGAGCAGTGGAAACATGTTTTGTAGAGTGACGAAACTGACACGGAAGAGAAGAAATTGTTGAATAAAGTCGTTCTTTATGTTTTCTTTGTGTAGCTTCATAAAATTAAGGTTGAACCACTGATGTCACTTGGACTATTTTAACAATGTCCTTACTACCTTTCTGGGCCTTGAAAATGTCAGTTGCTTCGCTGTCTATGCAGGGTCAGAAAGCTCTTGGATTTCATCAAAAAATATCTTAATTTGTGTTCTGAAGAGAACGAAGGTCTTATGGGTTTGGAACGACATGAGGGTGAGTAATTAATGACAGAATTTTCATTTTTGGGTGAACTATCCCTTCAAAATACTGTGCATGTTGTTCTTGTCTTTGTGTTATTTAATCTGTCCTGCTCCAAAGCAAAGTGCTAGGACAGTTTTGGGGCAGGATGTAGACACAGCGCTAGAATATTCTGGGTCTTTCAAGGACCGCTACAATATTTGTGCCCAGGGCAATAGCTAATTGTGCTGTGATAAGCCCTAGCCACAGGCTGACAGAAGCTCTCTGAGCTTTGCCTTCACATCCACAATCTCCCCTGGCACACAAACAGAACAGAGAGTCACATTTAAACAGCCAATTAAAAAGGCCGTTGCCTCCACCTGTCTCTCCACCATGTAAATCCTCTATGGATGGCGGATCAGAGGAGCTACCCAACAGGGGTCCATCGAGAGGAGAGTCACAATGGAGAGAGGAAGTGTGACCTCGCTCAAGTGATTCTACTAAAAACAGACACCTTGAGTGGTCAAAGTTTCCCATTTCACGCAACAGAAACTTATAACTTTTACAAACAACTTATTATTTTCTACATAATCATGGTTTTCGTGACCCTGGACCACAAAACCAGTCTTAAGTGTCAATTTTTCAAAATTGAGATTTATACATCATATGCTGAATAAAAAAGCTTTCCATTGATGTATCAAATATACCCCAGCGACTTAAGACTGGTTTTGTGCTCCAGGGTCACATATAACTTCTACAAGCACTATAATAACTCCTAATTATAAATAAAAAATAAAAATAAATTATATATAATCAATTATTATAAATGCATTACTATCAATTAAATAATTATTAAGTTTACAAAGAAACAAATGAAATAAATATTTTCTCCTTCTCTACTTTTATGAATTGCACTTGTGCTCTAGCTTGTGTGCTAAACTAGCTTATACTTTAAATCTGGCATTGTAAACTGCAAATATTATTGACTTTTATGAGAAACTGCTTGCGATGCTCCACAATAGGTCGCTTTGCATAAAAGCATCTCCTAAATAAATAAATGCATTAAAGTTACATTAGGGAACAATCTTTTTTAGATATATTTAGCTACAACTGGCACAAAAACAATAAGGGGTTTTTGAATGAAGGAACAATTTAAATTAGTGTGACAGCAATAAATGAACAGATAAATTCAAGCTAAATATAAAATAAAATAAAAAATGAATACACTTTAATTCATAAGTCAGTCAAAAACAGTTGCATATAACCAAATATTTGAATTTATAAAAAGAGAAATTATTTTTTTTAAATGAATTCATTTGCATGAACTGTTTGAATGAACAGATTCACTAGAATGAATCAGACCTGCTAAAGAATGTAACAAAAATTCAATGCTTAGTCGCACTACACTGCCTCTCAGTGGAAAAATCAGGTCATTACTGGAAAAGCTACACTTAAAAAAAAAAAAGAAAACAGCTTTGTCATGTTATTGAAAAATAAATATAGCCTAGCTACTCCTCAACGATGGGGAAAAAACTGAGGGAAGTTGAGAATAGGCCAACAAATCAAATGATGTCAATGATAAACAAAAAAAGACAAAATGGTGTCTAATGATGACTAAATATTAGCAGTTGGCAAATGCAGCTCCCTTTGTCGTTGGGTGGGTTTTGCTGAACTGAGAAGCTAGAAATGTGCAGGGCTTCAACACAAGCAACAGATGGCCACAGCGGATACTGTTGGGTTTCTGCCTCAGGGCCACATTCTCCAGGAGGCTGCGAGCGACTAGGATGCCATCACTATCGCGGTCTTGAAAACTCAATAGTTAATACACAAGAAACAAAAACCCAGGAGATCCAAACCCGGGCAACGTTACATGGAGAATCCTGCGGGTGTAGCTTCAAGAAGTAAACAAATAAATAAGTGAGCATAGCCCTTGAATAAACAATGATTTCTTTTGATGATTTCCTGAGTGAATATAAATTCTTATCGGAGGGGCAAAAGAATGGCTATGAGAATGGGTGCCGTGTGATCTCACTACGGTGGATGGAAGACAGGAAATGATGAATATTGACTGCTATCCAAGAGTTAAGCTGGCAAACTACTCCACTTTAGCCTAACCATGACATCAGACAGAAAACAAAGGATTGGAGAGAGTAAAAGAACAAATAAAATAAAAAAATGTCCAAAATGAAAACTCTGAGCTGTCTTCTTCTCGCTGAGAAACACTGATTGCCCACTGTGCTTGAGAACAAAAGACAATGGGAATGAAAGTGTGTGTTCTGCCTCTCTTTCAGTTTTGTCTTCTCTCAAGTTTTTCCTCACACAACATTGGCTTTAATAATTCTAAGACCTGAAACCAACTTTACGCCATGTAAGCATGTGCAAGCAAATGTTTCTAGCTACAGAAGCTCGAGTTCTGCTCTAGCACAATAGAAAAGTAACTTGCGAAAACTTGAAACTGCTTCAAACTGTCAAATGTTAGCTCCATAAATAATTACACACCCAGTTTAATGTAACAGACATGTGAAGATAACTATCAAGTGTAAACACATGCAGCCAATGACCAATGGACTACCAAAAATAAGGAGGATTTCCAGATACAAACAGAAACCAAACACACAATATATAAGGCCTGAATAATCACTACAAAGTGCCCTTAAAGTGCTGATTGCAGCATTAGTTGTACTATGTGGAATTAATTATATTTCAGTTTTGTTTAATGGTGACACTAAAATTAGTGCTTAAGAAACATCACTTAACACTCAAAAATATCTTTAGTACGTGATGTAACTATACAATATACACAAGTGAGATGTTCTAGAATTCTCTCATTATAATCAACAAAGGTATTTATTGTGTACATATTACATATTATATATACTGTATTATGTTATAGGGATGCACAATTAATCAATATAACCGAAATCACAATATGGTTTATCAAATTGCAAAGTCTGCAATGATTTTGCAATTTGATAATGCCAAGTCAAGTCACCGTCATTTATATAGCACTTTTTACAATGCAGATCAAAGTGTCAAAGCAGCTTTACAGTATTATAAAAGAGAAATAGTGTGAGAAATTAGAAGTGTTTATCAACAAAAGAGAACCTTTAAAGGCTCCCTGTGGTTTTCCATCAAAATAAAAATAAATCCATAAATAACACTGTAATTTTACAGTTTTAAATGTAAAATAATAATACTATTACTAACATTACTAATTACAAAATATTTCTATAACAGACTTATTCATAGGTACCTTCAGGCTAAGAGAACTTTGTTTAATTTATGAATCTTATCGAGTCAACCATACAGGGCCGGTCGAGGGGAAAAGCCTGTGAACAAGTCGAACGTGAGATCCACTTTGAGCACAATTTCAAAAAGTAAACAAGCCTAGGCACTTTACTGAGCAAAAAATTTGATGTTTTTAATATTGATGCAGACTTTCGAAACAAGCCTCTCGAGCTGAGGGCTCCTTATTTGTGTTACTTGCTTCCATGTAAGTCAGTCATTTAGCAGAATCAGATGCTTTTATTCAGAAGCCAATCCCATGCTAACACATGCAGAACCATTAGACTTTTATAAGTTACACAAGCTGACACACCTGCTTAAAATTGGCAGCAGTGCCCTAATGACCACGTGCCAACAGCATTCAGAAACACTCGGCTGAGGTGT